TGCAAGACATGAAGTCCCGAACTGAACAAAATCTTCAAGATATGCAAGACCAATGGGATCGCTACCCGCCTGGATTTGGATGACCTTTTGGATGAAGAACCTGAAATGGTTTCGGCAGGCTGGGATGATACCATTAATCTCTCTGATGACTAGAGAACCCTTTATCAATGGGTTTGAACCCTTTGGAGGGCTCTTATTATATATTTTTTCTTTTAATAATTAATGACAAAGTTCCGAAAAGGCAGGGTAATACCTTTTCAGATACTTAGCATTAATATTCTTATGTACCATTTTTCCTTCTTGATTTATGATAATAAAGACTCTATTCCCAATTAATTTATGAATGATGAAAGGACCTTCCTAGTTGGGAGACCACTTCCCTAATTGATCCACTTTCTTATAGGTCGGCAGAATTGTCTTCCAGACCAGATCGTTTTCTGCGAAAAACTTAGGGACCACTCTTTTCCCATAGTATTTCGCCCTAATCTCGCTCTGCCTAACCACTTGGTCCAAAGCGTTCAATCGATCTGTATCTAACTCTTCCAATTGTTGCCACATCTTTTGTAAATACACCTCATCAATACAGGATGTCGTACTGGTCACCCTGGGTGAAGGCACGACAAATTCTGCAGGTAATACTGCATCTTGCCCGAATGTTAATTGGTATGGGGAGAATCCAGTAGAGGTATTCTACTATTTCGATGAGCCCACAGTGCCTGAGACAGCAAAGTATGCCATTTCCTTGGATTCTCCTCCACCATTTTCCGAATAATGCCAATAATAATCTTATTTGCTATTTCGGCCAATCCATTCGCCTGTGGGTAATACGGTGAAGAATTGTGTAATTTAACATTGTGTTCGGCCAAAAACTCAACAAAATTTTCCCCAGTAAACATCAACCCTTGATCGGTTGTGAGAGTGTGAGGAATTCCAAATCGGTAGATGATATGATTGAGTACGAATTCAATCACTTCTTTTTGTGTCGCATTCTTCAAGGGAACTGCCTCCACCCATTTGGTAAAGTAATCAGTCGGCACTAAAATAAAAGAATGTTGTTTCGACGAGGCCGGATGAATTTACTCAATTACATCCGGCGCCCAAACTTTGAATGGCCAAGGTTTAACCATTGTCTGCAAATCTACTGTTGGCAGATGATCTAAAGGACCATGCTTTTGGCATTCTTGACATCCCTTAGCAAATCTGATACAATCATAAAAATTTTTTGGCCAATAGAATCCCATACGATGGATAGCCCATCGCATATTTAAACCTGCCCGATGCGCACCACATATTCCTCCATGGACCTCCTCCATTATTTTAATAAATTCTTCAGTTCCCAGACACCTCAATAAAACCCCTTCAAAGGTTCTTTTATATAAAACCCCATTAATAAGTTGGAAACGCAAAGCCTTTAACAGAATACGAACAGGAGCGGTGGAATTTGGGGATTCCAGATACACCATGATTTATGTTCTCCAATCATTCTCAGAATCAACATTGCCAATCATCTGCTGACAAGCACTCTGAGCCAAATTATCGGCCAACCAATTCTCTGCTCTTGGTACATGCTCAAAAACTACCTCCGCAATTCTATGTAACAGATGGAGTACTATATCTTGGTATCTATGCAAATGAGGAAAATTACAAGCATACCGTTTCAACACTTGGTTAATAACAAGTTGAGAATCCCCATAGATTAAAACAGACTGCACTCCCTTAGCGATAAGTGCTTCCAAACCCAAAATCAATGCTTCATATTCTGCGGAGTTATGTGTCATCTCTTCCGTTTAAAGTCGAAAATTAATTTTGTCGCCTCCTGGTCCTTCTAATATTACTCCTGCTCCTGACTTTCCTTTCGAACGGGAACCATCAAAAAACATTTTCCAAGGACTGGTGCCGATGTAGGGCATTATTCTGTTTTCTGATGACCCATCACTTTTAAATTCTGCCAACAGACCAACCACAACCTGCCCTTTTACAGCTTTGAGGGGTCGGTGCCGCAATGCAAAAGGAGCCAACTTAATGGCCCACTTCATTAATCTTCCTTGCATGGTTGGTCTGTGGAGAATTAGTCTGACCAAATCCATTTAGAAACCACTTCGGTCTCTTTTAGAAGAATATAATGTTCCAAACGAGAGCAAGCAAAGACTAGAGAATAGCATATTTTTTCGGGCATACTATAATTCAATTCTGGTCCCGCCAAAGTCTTACTAGATAATAAATGGCTCTTTCCTTACCATCTTCCCATTCTTGCACCAAAAGACTGCTTACCACATCAAAATTGTTCGCCAAATATAGCCGAAGAGGTCGGTCACCTCTTAGAGGAACCAACATAGGCGGGTTAATCAAGGTCTCCTTGATTTCTTCCAATGCCTTCTGTTGCTCCTGACCCTAAGAAAAATCGGTGGCCTTATTCCGTAATAATTTTGTGATAGGTTTTAATTTCCCTGCGGCGTTTGATATAAAACGCCTTAGGTAATTCACCTTTCCCAGAAAACTTTGAACATCTTTGACCGACTGAGGCGACCGCATTGTTAGAACAGCTTTGGCCTTGTTCGCATCAACTTCTATCCCCTTTTCATGTACTAAAAACCCCAAGAAATTCCCTGCCGAAACTCCAAAGGCACATTTCATTGGGTTCATTTTTAGGTTGTACTGCTTCATTCGAATAAAAGCATTTTTTAAGTCAACCAAATGTGTATCAAAGTCGGTAGACTTAATGATCACATCATCAATATATACCTCCATTGACCGCCCAATTAGATCATGAAAAATGGTGTTCATAGCCCGTTAGTAAGTTGCTCCAGCATTCTTTAACCCGAATGGCATAACTGTCCACTCAATAATTCCCAATGCTCCTGGGCATCTAAACGCGGTTTTAGGTTTATCTTCTTCTACCAATGAAATTTGATTATACCATGCATATCCATCCATTAAACTTAAAATTCGATGCCCTGCTGCAGAATCGATTAACATGTCTGCTATAGGCATGACATATTCATCTTTTGGAGTGGCAAGATTGAGATCTCTGAAATCAATGCAGATTCGGATCTTTCCATTTTTTTGGTTACCGGAACAATATTGGCTAACCATTCTGCATATCGACATGGACGAATGAAACCAACCTTCAATAACTTCTCTATTTCTTCTTTAATCTGGGGCATCAATTCTGGACTCGCTCTCCTTGGTGGTTGCTTAGAAGGTTTAAAGCCCTTTTTAATAGGCAACCTATGTTCTATTAAATTGTGTGCCAGTCCGGGCATTCAGAATAATCCCATGCCAGACATTCCTTGTGATCTCGAATTAACGCTATCATTCACTCTTGTTGGTCTTTTTTCAATAAGCCACTTACCCTGACCATCTTGGGTATCTGTTTGGTTCCCACATTATATTCAATAAGAGGATCCTGACTTGACAAAGAAGTTTCTGTCTTTTCCAAAAGGTCAGGCCAGCGAAAACCTTCTTCTTCACCAACATTATTGTTAGAAATTCTATTATTATGTAGTCTAACCATTAATTGGTTTAAATAAAACTGCCTAATCAGTTTATCACATTTATTTATTTCTTCCATAAATTAAACTTCAAGTAAAAGTTTATTTTGGCTAACAACAGAGCCATAATACAGAAGATTGTTTCTAATGAAACACACAATCCTGCGTAGTGAGCTTACAGCCCTTCCAAGGATACTCATCTACCATAGTTGTCTGTGAAATCGGTGGTACGTACTCCGTATAAAGAACCGATTCTTCCACTCCTTCTGTAGAGCTGAACGGATTTGTACTGGCTTCCATGGTGAAAACCTGATCTCCTTCCCAAAACATAATCTGTTGATGGAGACAAGAAGGCACGCACTTGGAAGCGTGAATCCAATCTCGCCCTAATAAAACTGAGTAGGTAGTATTGGCATCCACAACAAAAAACACGGTCGAAATCACCTTTGGTCCGACCTCAATGGGTGCATCCATCATCCCTTCTGGTTTGGTCGGTTGTCATGTGAAGCTCGTCATCTCGATGTCTACTGGAGACAAATCACCAATCTCTTTGCCCAATTTTCTTAAAGTTTTGAGAGGCATGACATTGAAAACAGCCCCATTATCAATAAAAACCTTGTTAACCGGCTTACCACATATGTGAGCGTTAACATAGAGTGGTTTTAAATGCGGGATTGCTCATTCTGGTATAGGTGGAAAAACCATAGGTGGGGGTCTGCCAACCATCGCTGCCTATTCAGGTTCTTCCTCCTCCTCGAACTTTGCCCAAATAGGTTCTTCGACGAACCATTGCATATCCGTCATCTTGACTTCGAATCCTGCTTTATCAAGTTTTACTATCTTGCTGCGCAAAACTTTTGTCTCTTCTGGGGCAAATGATCCAAAAATAATCTCAGGAGTATCTTCCTCTGCATTTTCTATTTCAGGATCAATATTGATCCGTTTGCAGAATTGACATCGAAAACATCTGGCCTTCTTGATAGGCTTGTTAATCTGCCAATGCTCCTCAGGCTTGCCATTCGAGCTCTTCCTTTTGGGTGATGATTCTTACTTTTCCTTACCCTTATCTACTTGCTTTCCATGCCGCGCTGCATACCTGCGCTTAGCGTTGCGAATTTGTGTACGATTCATACCTGAAAATTGAGGATCAATGTCTATTGAAAGCGGCTTCCTATTCCGGCTCCAGCTCTCCTGGACTGGATGTGGTTTACACGTTGGTTGATCTCGTACCACGACTTTATCTTTCAATTCTACTTTGAAAGACCCATCTTCTCTGTCCCATTTCTCTGCCACTCTAGTTTCACAAACTTTGAACTTCACTTCCTGATTGGATTCCCGTTCTTTAGGCTTGCGTTCTTTTCGTTTGGTGTCTTCTTTATCATCACTTTGCACAATTTGTGAAGAACGCAAAGAGATCATTGCAGTGGTTACTTTTGGGAAGGGCTGATGCTCTACTCCCATTGTTACGTATTTGAATCTTCCTGCTTTGATAGCCTTCTGTATTTCCTTTCAGAAATGTGTGCATTGATTAGTGTAATGAGTAAAGGAATTATGCCATTTGCAGTATGGCCTTCCCTTTATTTCTTCCTTCGTTGCCAAACGCTGCCCTTTAGGAATGCGGATCTGCCTATCTGCCAACAGAATATCGAAAATCTCGTCGGCCTTGGATACATCGAAGGTCGGCTGTTCCCTCTCCTCTGTTCCTGGCAAAGGCTTTAGTTTCGAACACACGTACGGTTTGCCACTCACAATTTCAGCCGTCATCTCTTCAATGATATTTCTTTGCTCTTCATCTGGCGAATAAATTTCTGTATCGACACTAGCCATTTGTTGTACCCTGTTCCGGCGGAAATTGTGTTCTTTTTCTCTAAATAAAGACTCCAATCTCCCTGCTTTGGAAGCCAGGCTAGCCAAGTCCTGAACTTCATGGGCTGTCAATGCTTCCCGAAGTCTGGAATGCATGTTCCTAACCACCAAATTGGTCATTTCACTTTCTTCAATGATTGTCGGGCATCGGCCTTTCATTAGTCGTACCCGTTCAATAAACTGATACGCAGTCTCTTCTGGCATCTGTCGGATCTCTAAAAGATATGTGAGTGAGACCGTTGGGAGGGGATTAAAAAATCTTGCATGGAATGTGGCCTCCAGACCTTCCCAAGTTTGCAACTGCCCGGGTGGCAAATTTGTAAACCATGAAAAGCGATCCTTATAAGTGATAACCCAAACAATTGTAATTTGTAGAATGAATTATTGCCTACTTCCCCTAATTGAGCCGTGAAACGTCTCACATGCTCAATGGTTGATGCCCCATCTTCTCCGGAAAATGAATGAAAATCGGGTGGTCTGTAATTCCTTGGAAGCGGATGCTCGTTGATAATTCTTTCTGGAAACGGCCTCTGGTACGCAGGTCTGTTGACCTTCTGGGGGTTCATTCCAAAATGTACTCTCAAGACCTGAGCAATGTCCTCTGGGTCTACTCTGGGTGGGACAGGGTCCAATACTTGAATGGGATTGTGAGCCTGGCCTCCCAATCTTTCCCCCCTGAGGTCGGTAGGCTCGGTCCTAACACCCAACGGAATATTATTCGGGTATGTAAGAGGAGTCTTCCCTCTGTCAACCCTCGGGGCAATAACACTTGTAAAAGTGTTGTCCACATATGAAGGCCCCACAAAATTTGCCTGTAACCTGGATGGTGATAGTTCTGGTGGCGTCTGGATGGGTTGCAAAGTAACCTTTGATAACGCCCGATTTAACGTATTTTGCATAAGGTTTTGTTGCTCCCGCAACATTTTTTGCTCACGCAACATATTCTGAATGGCTAAATTATACTGGTTGTTCAATTGCTGAACATAAGAAACCCAGTTGGCAGGTGTTTGTGGCATTTCTCCTGTATTTGGCATGACGGGTGGTGAAACTGTTTCCCCCACCGGTGCCGAAGATGCTTGAGGTTGTGAGCTCGCCATGTGGATCCTTCCGACGATTCGGCCGGACCTCAGTCGTATGAAACTCTCCGTTGACGTAGGATCAGCAATCTTGCCTTTCTCCCACTGTGGTCGCCAAATTGTTGATGTGTTTTTTCAACAATAAAAAGTAAAATCCGAAAATAGAGAAATATTCCCGAATTTGATAGATGATGCCTGAGATTAGAGATCTCTAAACACTGTAGAATACATAAAATAAAATAAGGAAAATAAAATAAAAGACTGGAAAAATAAAAGTGGTGATCCCCAAAAGCAATTCTCTTGAATTTGATGTCAGTTGAAGATCCCTTCTCTGTACAATACGGAATCCTTAAATAACCCCTTGAAGATACGGTTCGAACCGCTATCCGGTCAGTTACCATAACCATTATTAACTGCCCCAAAAGTTCTCTTCTATCGACACGTATGAGAACCGTCCTACCACGTCCGACCTTTGAAAACCGCTCGCCAGTTGAAACTACCCTCCACTATCAGAAACTGCCTTTTACCCGACCTGTAGATTAGCTACTTTTACTACCCGACCTTGTTCTGTCTCCATTTTGTGTCCGACCTTATTACACCTAACCTTTGGACCTGAACTGACTTCAATGTCCGATCTTCTTATGCCCGACCTTTGAGATTTGTCCCGACTAGGTCCGGCTTCAATGTCCGACCTTGTTAGGTCCCGACCAGGTCCAACTTCAATATCCGTTCGCCCTTTGAGATCAACCTGACCAAGTTATTGCAGCTATATTTGGACTTTCAAAAAGCCCACTGGACTTTTGAATAAATGTTAACCTAATTTTGGTAGGCCCATTCTCAAAACTCCTATCCACCATTTTTCGCGCTCAACAATAATTAATGGATTTTCCAACCTTATTGATCAATAATCTTTTTCAAATTTACATTTCATCAAATTTTTGGGTGTGTTTGTTTTGTGAGAATGTTGGAGAAAACTTTTTTTATGTAAGGTATAGAGAATCGTGTAGGGAATGTTGGAGATGTAGGAAAAATGACAATAGAAGTATTTTTGTCATTTTTCTTTGATTTGTAATACGTTTTGATATAATAATTAATATTTAAATATCAATACGCAAAAAATAAATTAATATTTAATTACGGAGTAGAGTATTATAATGTCAAAATACTCAATTATATATAAATACATTTTTTTCAAAAATTCAATTTTTTTCCATAAGATATCTACACAAAACTTTATTTGTTGTCGTAAAAAAATGTTATTTTTTTCGTTCCAACTCAATATACTCTTTTTATTATTTTTGTTCGTCTCACTCAAAATATATATTTTTTAGTAAAAATAATCATATCTAAATACCAAAGTACCTTAAGAGCAAAAAATGTCAAAATATCTTATACTACTAAACAATAAAATACTAGTATTTTTATAATGTAAATTAAAAAAATAAATTGATATATTATATTTGTTCACATTGTATTTTTATCTGGCATAATTTTCCATAAATATTATAATAATTTACGAACTTTATACACATTAACACAATATATATAATATATACACTTTAAGTTTGTTTACTTTGTATTTTTAAATAAGTGTATTTTTAATTTTAACTTTTTGTGAATAGATAAAATTATACTATATATATTATGTTAACGTGTCTATATATCTTATATTTGCTTTTATTATGTTAACGTGTCTATATATCTTATATTTTCTAAAAGCAATATTTATAAAATAAATTATGTTACCTAAATATACTAAGTAATCAGACTCTTTTTATTTATTAAAAAAATCAATAATTCAATACAAAATTATTATATTATAAATACAAGTTTTCATACTTAATATAAAAGTAAATTTATTAAAAAGCACTAAGTGAACAAACTCATTGAGTTGGAACTAGCAGATATTATTTATATATTAAAATCCACATATATTAAAATTCATGTAAAAAAACATGACATATTTCTACAAGACCCATAGAGAATATGGCTTTTTTTAGACAACAATTTTGTGGTTTGTTTGTTTGTTAAGAGCCTGTGGGTCGTGTGTTGATGTATAATTCAATTAAACGAACTAAGTTTTGACCGTTTATATTATATTAACAATTTTAAAATTAAAATTGTGATTAAGATTTACGGATTAATCTAAATTCAGCCCTGTTGAATTAGTAGATTTAGCATGAGATCCGTTATGTTGTCAAAATAACGTATTTTTTTCAAAAAAAATTAATATATTACACGTTCTTTATTTTTATATTATGTACACAATTATCTATATTTTACATAAAAAAATTTCCTTCAACCAAAACACAAAACAAACAAACCCGATTCTTCACACAATTTCAATTTTTTCAAAAATACCATATCAAGTACTCTCTTTATCACAGTAAAAAAATCTACATTACTGTGTATATAAGAATTTAAAAGAAGTATAATCAATAAATAATTAATAAATTATATACACCCATAATTAATTGGCTCTGCCCAGTACAAGTGCAATCCAAGCCTTGGGAGCTTCGCTGCCCCAACAGAAGGTTCAGATAAACAAATGGGCTCGCGGACCTGTCTAGCCTAATGACTCAGCAGGCCTGGTGTATTTGAAGTAGTGATGAAAGATGGTGGGAGAGGAGACTAAAGTGGTTGGAGAAAAAACTAGAATAATATTTTATCCAAATAAAATTTTTAAAATAACAAGATTAAGGAGGCAAGATCAGATCAGAGACGGACACCATTCATAGGGCTGGCAAACGGATCAGGTCGAGTTGAGTTCAGGTTCGGGTCAGCTTAAACGGGTTACAAAACCCTTGACCTGAACCTGACCCATTTAATTAAATGAGTTGATATTTGCAACATTAACCTGACTTTTTATTAATCGGGTCAACTTGAATCTGACTCATATAACCCGTTTAAATCTAAAATATTTAAATTTTAATTTAAAATTATAATTTATACTAACAAAAATTTTAAATGCATAGTATATATACATATTAAAGCAAAAAAAGATTTATTCATATCATGAAACCGATATTCAAGAATTAAATTAACAAACACTACATAATAGTACACAACACAATCCTTAATTTTTTATTGTTTATTTTTATAAAATTGGCCATAAATATTGAATTTTATTGATAAAATTTAAAAAATTTATTTAAATTTAAAATAATATTAATTAAACAGGTTAGACGGGTTATTTTCAGATCGAAAATGTATACCTTAACCTGACCCATTTAATTAAATGGATTAAATGGATTTGACCCAATTATTAATTGGGTCAAAAATCTCAACCAAAACCCAACTATTTCAGGTCAGATTCGGATCGGGTTATCAGGTCGGGTTAATTTTTGTCAGGCCTAGCCATTCATCACCATCTTCTTTTTTCTTTCTTTAAATTTTCTCTGCATTTTTTATTCAAGAACACTATATTTTTTCGTCAATTTTTATTCAAGTTTCAGCTTCTTCCTTGTTTATAGCTTTATTTTCGTCTTCCTTTTACGTTAATTTTTTATTTATCGCGAGATAGCCCGTATCATTTTTTAAGGAGACCGGGAGACCCTTTCGAACAAATTGATTCTTCTAGGCTTTTCTAATTAAGCCGCCGAAGGTGATTTTTTATGACAATTTAATTGGCACGCCTGATGGGACACCAACATCTCGCGACTTTTGCATGCAACATCGGAAGAGAAAACTGACGTCGCTGACAACCATATAGATGTTGAAAAACAAAGAAATTGTCAGCGATTCATCTTCTCACCCTGCGTAGGAAGTTGCCCCACGAGACAAAACTTCAGCGGTGGCTGGAAGGCCAGACCAGATTATCATCCTTCTAGCTAGTGTACTATAGGAGCAGATCCATGGGGAAATTCAGTCCTCTCTACACAAATCTGCCCTGGAAATTTTCAGATATATTGCTGATGTTTTGAAGCCTATTATCCAAAATGAATTTGCGCTACTTTGGGAGGAAGAAGCTCGAAATGGCAAGGCCTTGATGGCCAGCTCCAACCCGCTGGATATCTGGCCTCCCGTCAGCCTTGCAGCCAACTCCGCAACAAATCCGACCTTCCAAGAGCTCAATTATGGTCACGTTAGTATCTTCGGTAGGGGTAGCGGATCTGGAGAACTTCTGTTTAACCCACGGAAGCTCGGAGAATCTAGTGCGCAGGCTGACAGGCCTCATTCGAGCCACCTCCAATTGACGGATTTGGGATGACCTCCGGGTCAGTCTCATCAGCTCCATATTTGCATTCAAATTTGTCATTCACCGGAGCCTCTTTCGGTACCCAAGCTCCTGTTTCAGACCTTAAAGAAAATCCGACGGTCAAACAAGGGACTTTCAGTACTTGGGGGCAGGGCCGACAACGGTTCCAGCACCTTCCTTCCCCTCAACACCTTTTGAACAATGTGGGGACCAGGGAAAGCTGTCCCCGTGATATCCCAATGCACTGGGGGACAAGGAGATGCTGCAGAAGGTCAACTCTCGGCTGGTTCTGGGGAAAACAACCCTACAAACATCCTGCCTAATCAACCTCCGACAATCCACTATTGGAGCAGGTTCATTTTTCAGAGAAGCTACGGAAGGCCCCCATTTTGTTCCCCACAATGGGGACCTGCTCATCAGGCCTTCCCACAGTCGGCAACGCGCAATCCGTCACCCGCTTAAGCAGCTCCTGAACAGCCTGGGGGCAGGCAAAAGTGCCGCCACCACCGTCTTATCCAATTATTAATCCCTAAGCGATCGCATATGCGATTTGTAGAATTTATGGTGATTCCATTCGCCTACCAGCTAGGCCTCATTACCAAAGGCCTTTCCCGAGGTACATTCATTTGAATCATCCATTGTCCCGCAATGCTTGGATGCCCAAATTCAGGCTATTTCTAAGGGAAGATTCCCGCTTCACCATCGAGCATGTCAGCCGATTCACAGCTCAATGTGGAGGACAATACAAGAATAATGACTGGTATAAACTCTAGCTTTTTTCATTGTCTTTGAAAGATCCAACTTTTTTGGTACACTTCGCTAC